TGACTCCTCTCTGTTCTTAATTGATGCTTCCCAACACTTTGCCAAAATCTGTGTACCTATCCCTTTGAGGCCCTACACTTCTGGGTGGTTTAGCTATGTAAATAATCAATGCGTTTAAAAGCTCGAAGAAATGAAGATTATACCGGTTAATCCGGCAGATCGTATTTGATGTGATGTTTTCTGACATGTCGGTGACCTTGTCAGATTCTCCGCAATCCTTGACTTTCATTGAAGTTTTGCAGAGGGAGGGAGCGTATTCGGCAACTGCTGGTACTGCGCTGGGCTCTTCAACAACCAGCCTATCTTCATAAATGTACCCCTTGCCGCTTGCTAAAGCAAACTGTGGACCCACGAGGAGTCTGATTAGAGTTAAGTGGGTGCTAGGTGAATGTTCTGAATTAATTTCCGAGGGTAGTCTTTTGATTGACAGTGCTGGGGGCAGCAAGCGATTTTGGAACGGGAGGCAGTTCTTGAATATAGGCACTTTCTTCAGGCAATGGCATTGGAACTGTATCATGAATTGCAGCAGAGGGAAACATCTCTTCATGTGTTTCAAAACTGACTGGTCCAGGATTAGTATCCGTCAGTAAGAAACACAGGGGAAAAGAAACTGTCACGAAAAGGATGTGTCAAAAATTAATATGGATTAAATGTGAACCATGTTCCTAGTGGCGCAAGTTGCCCAGTGGATCTGTCCCCTCCAGACCGTAAATTCGCATGGTTTTGTAGATTGCATCTGGATCCCTTGTATGAAATGTATGCAGGACCTAAGCGAATAGAGAAGAATACACACTTAAAGAGTTTGTCTGGTTTTTACACGGACGGGAACTGCCTCAGGACAGCGATATGATGTGGCTTTGTGTGTAAGAGTGCTGAAGAATGTGAACTGGTGTGACTAACATGTCAGACGACCTGTAATGTGGTTTGCATATCTATGCCATGAGAAAATAGCCAAGTTGGAAACAGTGAGTTTGACAGTTCCTTGATAATCTAGTGGCGATAAATTGATGCCTAAGAACAGCATTTGCAACACTCTCTTCGAGCTATTTTGGACTTGAGCACAAGAAACAAGGCGGTGTTTAGTAGTCGTGTCTGAAAGGACTTCACAGCTTGCTTATTGATACTGTAGTCATGAGGTAAACTGCACGCAAGTCTGTTGAAGTTATTACGCACAAGCACTGATTAAACGGCAGTAACACAGAATATGTTTACTCTTTACTATTGCACTGATTCACTTTACAGCATTGTCTTTGAGACACTAGTAGCACTGAACAATTGATCTCTACTCAAACGACAAGCACTCTTCTCGTTAAAAGAATATCCAATTTATTATGAACACTAATCTATACACAGGAAGTCACAATTTATATTTGAATATATAAAGTCAAATGAACGTGTTCATCCAACACTTCTACTTGTTCATTTTTGATAAAAATTATTTAGATAAAAATTTACATGCCTCAAGAGTTGTTACAAAGAATGTTCTAAATTCAAAAAATGTACCAAAAGAGAAAACATTTTATGCTAGAGTGGAAGTAGATAATATTTAGAAGAATGTTGGGTAGTAAAATGCCATAAATTAGTTGCTTGATATAAATATTTTCACATTTGTGAGCCTAAAGAATTCAATTGTCTGCTCTTATAACTAACCAATTGTGTTTAGAAATTGATGTAAATGTTTTAAGCTATTCTTTGTGATTAGTCATATACTTTGTAGCAATTAAATCCACATACTAGGCTTTACCATGAAAAGATATAGAATTGACAGTAAAGACAAGTTGGACTTTTTTTTGGCTTCAAATAATCAATTGACTGGTGGTTTTACTCACTATAATTAAAAAATTGGGTTCAACTTTTTAAGCAACAATTATACTGAACATTGTATAAATGCTATTCATAGAAAGTTATTGGCAAGATTTTTTTTTTTTTTTTTTTTTTTTTTTTTTTGCAAGTAAAAAAGTGCTAGATCTCTAAGATCATCATATATACCATGCATCTAGAGTAGACTTTTGTGGCAAAGAAGGTGCTATAAGAAAGTTATAATGGTTTATTGTTTATTTGGAATATTTGCTCAACTAGCAACAATGCTATTATAACTTGGTAGAAGATTTGACATTATCTTTGATATAAGTATTTGTTCATGCATTTTTTCTTGCAAATCCTTCAAGAATAAAGCCATGTTTTTGATATTCTGGATATGTATACCAATGTCAATACTTTGGGGCATTTATAATTATAAAATTTATCTTGAAGTTGGAAAATATTTTTCCCAATTTGTTGTAGATAGATTGTACATAGCTTTGTTCACATGATCTTAGTAGTAGAGTACCTAGACAACTTCAATAAAATCCATGAAGAAATACTAGAAGTGATGAACATGTATGTGTCAACATTCTTTTGATCCTTGGCATTAATATAGTCTTAGATCTTTAGATTATTATATATAGCAGGGCATCATTGATTGACATTCTTCTTTTGTGACAACATTAAAAAACTTTTTGGCTTGAAAAAATTTCCTATTTAATATTTCCAAATAGAAAATTGATTATTATCCAATATTTTTAAATATAAAGTTTTTTCTTTCCTTCTCCATGAGTTTTGGAAAAAGTTAAAAATTAGTAAAAATTGAGAGTTAATACAATAAGATAAGAAGATGTTAACATAGTTGTAACTTATAATTAACAAAAAAAATTACAATCTAATTTAACTAGAAGTTGGTAAAGATTATTAATAAGAAGATAACAAGAAGACATCAAGTAGTAAATAGAAACATATCAAAGCAAAGCGATGTTGTTAGCAAAGAATGTTATAGCTAAGATTAATTCAGGAGTAGAAAAATATCTCACTCAGTGTGGTAACATTGTGGAGGCCCATAACCTGTTAAATTTATTAAGCACGAGCTTTGATTTAACAACAATAACACAAAATGTATTTACTCTTTACTATACAATAGCACTGATTTACTTTATAGAATTGTCTTTAAGACATTACTAGCACTAAGCAATTGGTCTCTACTCAAACAACTACTCTTCTCTATAAAAGAATAGCTAATTTACAATGAACAGTAATCTGTAGACAGGAAGTTACAATTTACATTTCAATGTAGAAAGTCAAATGAAGTGTTTATCCAACAAAGTCCAGGTATGATGCAGGGTTAGCTGTATTCATCAAAAGCAACTCTGATTATGGTTGAAAAGAATTTACTGGCGCATTAGGAACATCAAGTTGCAAAACATATCACTTCAAGCCAGCTGTGTGTGTGAGTTTGACAGATCATATGCAATCAGCTGCTGCGCTTACCCCAGCCTGGAATCCGATTCTGTATTTACTACATATGTAGCCTCTACAGTGAGTAGTGCATTCGGGACAACTCTATACTTTTGCACATCATGCTCGATAAGGATCACATTGTGAGCAGGTCTTCGCCAGGCCGATGAACAACAAATTGCAGAATCTTAGTATAAGTCGAGCTGCCGGGTTTTGACAGGGACGCCAACTCCAAAACACCCCCAGCAGCCAAGCTGATTGTGAAGGACACTTTCACTTTGTTTAGCTACTTCAGAGGACAATGATCAAAATAAAGTTAGACTCTGTACCATTTCACCTTGCACACGGGAGGTTCAACTTCTAGAGTTTACAAAGTCTCATGGTGACAGTTAAAATGTACGGGTGGTTACGGCTCAGAAAAACATTTTGATTGTGGATTGGAAAGATCCATATCATGTGTAGTCTCTACTCACCCAAATCAATTGAAGACTGTAATCTCTGTTTTGCAGAATTACGCGATTGTCACATGCTGTTGCAGGTCAGACAGGTCAGCATTGTTTTTTTTACTGGTGCATAAGACAATGGATCTCCTCGTTGCGGATTTCGGCCTGGCCTACGCATTAAACTTCTAGAACAAGATTCGGACTGCTCTGATTTAAGGAGACAACTGCTACAGGTTGGAGAAGATGAAACGTCTCATCTTTTGTTGAACAAAATTCAGTTTCGATTTGACTCATGCTGTACTACTGAGCAGGAAAGTGTGAATTTGCTGATTTCCTTAAGAAGGTAAACTTGAGCGATTTCATTCTTTGGTTACACTTCTACACATCACTCTCTTGATCTATACAAAATGTCTATCACCTTGGCTTGTTTCATGCCTTATTAGCTTAGCGTAAAAAGGAAAATGCGTGTTCAGCGAAGAACGTTCACATCAATACCGCAGTCGGCATAGTCTTTAATTACAGCTTAAAGCTCTATTGTATCTCTACCACTGCCAAATTGGACTTCGGTCTTATCCTTCATGCCGATGCCAGGTGTGACGCAGACTACCTATCATATCATGCTGCTATTTGCTCTCCATATCTTGCATTGCTATTGTTTGTAAGATTCACAAGATGTAGAGTTCTGCTGAGTTGGGTTATCCTGAAAAGCAACCACCAAACGAGGTTTTTGTGTTAAGTTCTACGAGTAGTATCCACAGGACACCGTCTTCAACTCGACACTTGACGAGCATGACATGACTTGGCAAAACTTTCGAATCACATTTCAACCTCACCATCATACAAAGCAATTGATTTCTTCAGGATATTCATGTTGATGTACGAACAGGTAGAGAATCTCGAAGCAGTCTACAAATGCAATTTGGGAGCAGGCAGGCTGCCGCCGCCACACTAGCACCTGCTAAACTAGAGTATAAAGCGGTAGACGTTCTAATCTGCAATCTTGCAATCACAAATTTTACACTGCCACTATGTCTAGAAACCGGAAGTTACTCAGGCCGTTGGTACATCTGAGATTACCTTGATGTGACGTCCGTAGTTTTAGTACAGAACCAAATATATTATCATTATCCCAACATTCGGAAACGAAAGACTTATTGCTGCACTTTGTTGACACAATTCAGAATAAAATCTAAAGGAGAACGTAAGCTTGAAAGTTAACTAAGAAATCAATTCAGAAAAGTGGAAAATATAGGTCATCAAGGAAGAGACGTGTACAATGATCAGAGTGGAAATAAAAAAAAGAAGCTACGCAGTAACATTGAATTCATCTCTTCAGTCAACAAGGAACAGATACAAATAATGCCCAGTGGCTTTAGTGGCAATTGGGAGTACAATAGGAGCGGATCTATAAACAAATCCATTGCAACTCGACTAGCGATAGAAACCAGGCCACACAACTCAAACGGTAGTCGTTTGAGTCCTTTATGTGGGACGGAAGAGAAAAAAATTAAAATACTCAGTAACAATCAACTCTTTACTAATCTGCCGTACTGCAAAACTGAGATAAGTTCCAACGAGAAAACAGTGCTCAATCCATAATTGGGACTGGAAAAAATCTATGAACCATTTTGGATGTGATTAAAGTTTCATTAACACAAAGCACTAAACAGCAAAAGGGAGGAATGACTTCATAAATTTCAAATGTATCCTGCAAGTCCTCCACCCTCCCAGCCTAGGCGCAGCATCTGGTCCACAACCTTAATGCTCAACTGCAACAATCAAGCAGTGCCCAAAGAATTTTAGTGCGAGAGTTGCAAATGAAGAGAACCGCATGAGTTAAACCACCAAGCGAAAATACGAGGGAACTGCCATCAAAATACATGCAAATTGACACTTAAGCATTGCAGAAGAATATTGGTCATCCTTTCAAAACGCACACTAAAAACATAGCAGAAGATTTCAATTTCTACAATAACCAGACGAAAGTGAATTCATTAAACAGGAAAAATGAAGAACTTAAGACAGTGAAGCGGAATTAACTGAAGGGTCTGTGAAAACAAGAAGCTGTTTGTCAGCAGTAGACACTAAAAGGTTGGTATTGTCGCTGTTCAGAGCCATGGCTGTAATATCTTGTCCTCTCCTGAGCATAAACTTTTGAATGACCTGCCAAACCAGAGATCAACAAGCACTCTGTTAACCATCTAAAAAAATTCTTATTCTTTCCCAAGCGGACAATAAATCAGAGAGGAAATGAGGCCGAGAACATAGAATGTGCAGGTAGCTTCACCTCTAGCGTGTGAAGTTCCAGAAGAATGACAGCTGGTTGAGGTTCAACATGCAGTTTCTGTTGAAATTCTGTTGAGCCCCCTGCATCTCCACTTCCCAACCCACCTGACTCCTTGAACCGGCGCATGTTGCTTGAAGTGTATCTTATCAAACCTGATTCAGATCTTCGCATAACAATGGATGCATCAGATCGCGGATATCCCGAGGGACTCCGAGGGAGAACATCAGAGCCTGGATGCTGGGTACCCTGGGGAAGCGGGGGTTGATTCCCTCTTGAAATCTTACAATTAGCGGAGTGCATTTTGGACTTCCCCCCACAAGAAGGACATGAACCAACTATGGACCACTGAGGGGAGTGCTGACCGCCGTAGCGTTCCGCGTCAGAGTCTACGGTGGTTTTGCGAGGAGGCGGCCTGCTGCCATCGGGTAGTAAGCAGCTTGTGCCTACTACAGCATGTAGCCCGTCTTTCGAGATAACAATAGAAGAAATGTTACCTTCCCAAGAAGGCAACAGCTTGGCTGTCACTAATACACCATTAATTGTGAAGCTCTGAAGTACTCTAGTAGCTTTATCAAAAACAACTATAATACCTTCTGGTGACAATGCAACAAGATCGGCTCTATCAACACCAAGACGTCGCAAAAACCTTCCCCTGGTAATTGAATGCAGAAGTACTCCTTTCGTTAAAGAAGATGTAACTACCAAATCAAGGTCTGCATTCACGCAGCATGAGACTAGTTCATCTACATGTCCTCTCAACACATGCAGTGGTCCTTCCAAACGCCGTCTCCTCAAGTCAGCAATTGTATTTCCTTCTCCTTCATGATTTGATGTACCTCCAGCAGCAGATACAGATGCAGCTGCAGCTACAAGTGAAGGATCTGACATACCCATGGGCCCGGCACCAGTGGATGTTGCAGAGCTTCCATGAAATCGCCAAAGTAAAGCTGTGGAATCTCGTGACCCTGTCACTAGAACACTTCCATCAGGAGAAAGTGCTAAGCATGTAACAGGAGCACAATGGCTTAACGCACTCTCAACTGCGTAAGCAGTGTCTGTCGCCACCAACTTAACAGAATGGTCTGCGTGTCCACCTGCACAGTATGTGAATACAAGGTTAGGGTGATCAAAACAGAGGCAATATGCCCTGGAAATCCTTACTGCCGATATCGATGCGAGTAAGGATCTTCTTCGACAGACTCAACTGGAAGCAGATTGCAATCAGCCGATTTTTGTTTCGGGAAGTAGCAGGATTCTATGCAACAATTTCACATTGAAGCAGAGTTCATTGCAAAATAAAAATAGCTAGGACGCGCTCACTCCACGCTGATAGAAGGCAAATCCTACATAGTACTTCATAAATATGGAAACTTGTCGGAACATCAATATTTTGAAAATTGAGGTCTGCAAACTATTTGATTTGCAACATCCAGATATGAGTGGTTCGAAACAGTTCAATTCAATTTTCAGAACCCAGTCACATTAACAGATCAGAAAATGGTGCAGACCTGTTAGTAAGAAACGGCCGTCTGGAGTAATTGCAACAATAGAACCCAGTTTTACACCCGCAGGAGAAAGAGCCACTGCCCTTGGGAAACGATTCTCCTCATCATCAGTTGGCCGTGAAAACATTCGCATCAAACCACTACTTGATCCAATATTTGAACGACCATGCTGAAACAAAAATGGCATGCCTCTACCATCTGGTGTATTAGGTTGCCACTTCTGCACGGCTATATGGCAGGCAGGAGCTTTCATGTCAACAGTCACGACTGAGTCGTGTGTGGTCCGTAGCTCTTTAGCAGGTAGATTTAGTCGGTCAGGACTAGGAACTGCATAAGCTTTGGTAGTGTTGGGGTTCCGGAAAATAGTCTGCACAAGTAACTCGTGTCAATGCGCATTTTTTATTAACCCTCTGAAGACATTGGTGTGATACTCACTTCAGCAAATGGAGCCCATTCAGGTTCCAATGTCCTCGTAGGTTGTCCTCGTAGGGTTAAATGAACATCAAAATAAGAGAGATATGTTCATATAAAATAAAACCTAATGTTACCTGCAAATGTAGGACTTCAGCAAGAGGCAGTCGCTTAATATGAGGCACAGTCAGCAGTTGGGACGGTGTTTGCCCAAAGTATGTAATCTGATCCTGGGTTGCCTTCCGTAGCACCTATGCAATATTCGAACCAATTTTGAAATCAAGAAACAGTTGAAGCCAATGTAGATTTATTCTCAAAACCCGGAAGAAACCATTAGAGAAAGGAGATTAGACAGAGTAGGAAATTGGAAAGATTGTAGGATTAGAAGAACAGTAAAAGACAGCCAACTACTCAACAACTAACTAGAAAGTAGATGAAGGGTAGAAAGTTATAACAGTTCTAGGCTATTGGAAAAATACAAACTCTATCATAACTGGATAGCTAAACCTTACCGGATCTGTAATTTTATCAATATCCACTGAACCTTCGTAGGTCATGTAGAAGAACACGTTCTTTGCAGATATAGCAGCTGGACCCCTCTGCTTATACCTGCATAGGGAAATTGAGCGTAATAAATGAGGCATAACTAGAAAGATTACAAACTTCATACTGGGGTAGCAACCGGATTTACAACAAATTTCAGGGTCCTTAAACTAGTTCTACGGTTGACACAGCAAATAAGGTACTTAAAAGGTCAGTACCCAAAAATAAGGTCGATCCACTCATTCAGATGTTCTGATACATATTCACTCTCTAGTGCAGAGCGATGCTTATATATAAAGTCCTCTGGGCTTGAGGCCCACGGTGGAAGCTTTACGTCCTCTGCAGATCAACAAAAAAGTGATCAATAATGTTTTACTCAGGCGAGGACGTGGAAGCAATTGTTTTAGCAGAACATCCTAGCAGCACCTTGGGTCAAAAATCCCATCCTCACCATGCTCTTTGAACTTTTCGCATTCATAATACGCACACCAGTGCACCATACTGTCTACGACAAACAATAGATCGCTAGTGAATACCACGTGTGAACCTGTCTTTTGAATCTATTTGAAAATTAAAAAGACACAATTAAAAAAAAGTGCTTATGCGAGGTTCTGTAACGAGTTAAGTGAAAAATATACTATCACTTCTGTTGGACGATCATAATTCCTCAAGTATATCACAGAGAATAGGTATAAAGAACGAGGTTATATACCCAGTGCACTTAAACCACAATCTTTCAAATGTCAAAGAATCATAGACAATGTAGACATACCGAGCTTGTCACCCTTCTGAGTTCGTCCCAAATCTATGCGGTTCCCATTTTTTAGAGCTTCTGGCAAGTAGAATAGCTCAGGAACCTACAACACGTGAACGAATATAGAATACACAAGTTTAGTCCTTCCGTGTTCGTGCAACTGTCAGAATATCCTGCAATATGAACTCCTAATTCAATAAAATATCAAACGGCCCACCTCACTCTAAACCAGAAAAAGAAATGGTGTCACAATTCCAAATGGCAGCTCCATAATATCGCGAAGTACTCCTTTCGAGTAAAATTACTTACCAGTTCTTTGACATCACTCATATCCTCCAAGACACCATTCCAAGTCGAGCCAATATCAGAAAACATACGATCTGCATGATCAAATTTCCCTCCTTGCAATTGAATAGCTAATGATGAATAAGGCTCAACGCGTACAAGATAATAGAGTACCTGCTCCACAACCAGGCCATGATAATCAGAATGGTTGGTAATAGGTATTCACGATAGAACAGCACAACACATCCAAAATGAAGTGAAGTAAGCACAGAAAACGATGTCAGCCACCGGAACTGGGCACATCACAAATTTGAAAAGAAAGGATAAAGGTTGCCTACCGTGCCAGCACTTGAGTAATGAGAGCCATAGTGAAACTTAGGAATGACAGGGTCGTCAAAGTTGTCATATCGTTCCAGAAACTTTTCTAATCGAGTGGGATTCAAGGCACCAATAGGCTACATGCATGACAGCCATTGAGGTCAGGGTAGAACACCATATCATAATCAGACTACACTTCATATTGAAGGGATCTTCGCCACTCGCATTCAATGTTGATTGTTACAATTGAAGAAGACAAATTACCACAAGCTGAAACTAGTCCAAGCGACGAAGCAGACAGCTCCAGCAATTAAGATACAAATTGAATTTGCAAGTTCTTTAGGAACATAGTCAGAACAAGAAATACCTTTGATAGGTCTCTATATACATTTGGGTCGTTCAATTTCAGTTCCTCTGAAGTGTAATCGGCAAGAACCCACGGAAACACTGGATACTGCACATCAGCAATTCACGAGATGAAGTCAATCAGAGCAAGCGTTCACAAAAAAAAAAAAAAAAAAAAAAAAAAAAAAAAAAGCCTACGATTTTACATCAAACAATAATTTTGTCCATTCATGAATTGATAAACATTCTTTAGTGGCGCTTAAAAGCCGAGCAACATCTCTACTGACCGTAGGTATGGTGGAATCAAACATCAGGAAGTACATGTGGTCAAAAATACCTGTGTCATGTCATTATAAGTTCTGCCCGCTAGCGTATTGAGCTGCATCAAGTACGAGAAATTCGTGATCTGCGCAGGCAATGTAGCAAATCAATGTCCATAACATGTAGCATATGACTAAATTGGTCGATCACTAATGAATGAAGTAAGCAGGCATCTGATGCCATATTTTGAAAAAACTTGATCACAAACTCGAAAAAGCACTAATTATTCATTGCATTTCTCTGTTGTATGATCCACCAGTAAACCACATTTCATCAAACTGATATATGATGGCTCTAATAATTTCAGGGTATATATTTCTCAAAAAACTTTCGAACTAATCGTTGAGACAAGGTTTCCAGTTTGATAAAAACAGCAGCAAATGGGAAGACGAACTCATTGTTTGATACGGTAATTAATCAGTCTACCTCCCGACGAGCCCAACGCTCTGTCAGTCGAGTCCTCTTCAAGAGCTGCTCTGGTCTCTGTAGATGAAAGAAAAATAAAGAGCACAGGTTAATTGCTGGTAAAATAATACTGAAAACAGCAAAATCCCTGTATTATCATTTCATACTAATCAGAAAGATAGTAGAATCTAGTGAGCTTATGGATCTGGATTCGACGACATGGACAATTCATGTTGTGCGGCAGCTCATTTTGCAAAAAGTTGTCAACCTGTGTCCCTGCATATACTGTGTTGAAATAAGGGGGCTTTGCTTGCACAATTGCCTTGTAGACTCTTTGTCTAGCATCCACAGTCTGCAGATACATAATTCAGTTAGAATCAAGGAAAACATGACCTCCCGCACATATATTACCCAGGTAAGCTCTTTTTCCAATTTCAAAACAAAGAAAAATACTCCAAGTACTACATGAGACATAGCATATTCAATATCTTGAGTGTACAAATTACCCCAAAATTGAAGAAGAAGTTTGATCTGTCCACCATGAAGAGCTCTAACGCACTTCTTCTTAATGAGAACCTGAAGTACACCACAATAAAAATCAATGGAAATTAACAATGCAGACCTCAAAGTTAATTGGCAAAAATAAGGTAGTGAACACTGATCAACAAACATGAACTCATCGATAGCACTAGAGACTAAAATGTACAAACCTGCGGCTATGCACTTCTCGTAAACTCGAAAGTGGCCACAACCTATCTTTAGCACCAGCTTTACGCTGTTGACCCCTGTCATTGAAGTTTTCATTTTCTACCCCATCTACCATTTCCCAATCATCCTCCTTCTCAAGCATGCTCGCAATTCCAGATTCGTTGATGTAGACTCGATCATCGATCATGAAGCAGACCCTCTTAGTTGTCACCTATATAAGGTAAAAAATTGCTTTAAGGATCATCACCTCCTTGATTAATTTGTGAATTCAAAATAGACACTTCTTTTGAATGAAGCAAACATTGACCGAATGAATAGCAATATGGTTTCGCAATAATGATAAACCAAGCGATGAGAATCAGACCCCATGCAGATTTAAGAAGGCAACACTCAAACAGCTCACTGACCTGAAATCTTCCTCTCCAGACGTTCAAAGGAAGAATCATCGCAGCAGGAATCTCGAGAATCAACTTTTCCTTGAGTTCTGTGGACATGGCTGCTGCAACTGCTGCAACAGTAGTAGCATTAGAGGCTTGTGAAGGGACTGACACGCTCGACCTTGATTCTTCAACCACAGTCTCAGGGGAAGCGTCCTTGTCCATCTCCTCGGTTCCCTCTTCCCGCTCTTGAGTCTTCTCTTTCAAGTCATCTTCATTAGATTCTTCAAGCGCATCCTCTTCCGGTGCAAGTTTGGGAGCTCCTTCAGGTAATGGAGTGCTTCCTAAAGATTGAGAGATGGTTGACTTCTCAGGTTCCTTGTAATCAGCTGCTGCTCCATGATGATCTGTGCCTTTGTAGCTTTGTTTCAAGCGCCGCCGCATGCGAAGAGAGTTTTCCATAGAGTCTAATTTCCAAAAGATCTGCAATAAAGCGGCATATGATCCAGATTTAAAGTAAATAAATTATCTAGTCTTAACACTGCCACTTGACTAGACCAGGTCCCTATCAAAAAAAAATACGGCACGTAGATGCACGTTTTTACCATACTATTTTTAAAGAAGCTGGACAAAAAAAACTCACAGCAGGCGTGGACATCAAAGGGAAGTCATCAGCACAATGACTTCTGAAGTATGGTTTTCTTTAGTTACATTTAGCCATAAAGAAAGCCGATGGACGTAACGGATGTTAATCAAGCAAAACTGTAGTAGAGAGAGCATAGCAAACTTACACGTGGAACCGGTCCCATCGGATAAGAAAATGTTCCAAAGTGAGATTCCATCTCCTGCAGCCGGCGTAAAAGAGATCTCCAGGCACGAACGCCCATTGTTGATCCAAATTCCTCTGTAGCAGCTATCATTCCACGTCTATCCACCTGGAATGATGATCAAAAACGAAAAAATGAAATAGGCAGAAATGCTGAAGGATCAACACAATTTATTAGAAAGACAATCACAAACCCAAGGAGTAGGACTTTTAGCATCCTTAACTAAAAGTTATGATCTTGCAAAACTTCAGGCGCTGCTCTCTCATTCGGAAATCTCAAACAAGAAGAAAATGAACAATCTGAAAATGTAAGATCTCAAAACGTGCTCAAACTAGTACCTCCGCTGATTGCATTTTTTGAGCCTTTTCCAACATATTTGAAATCATTCCAAACATCCGATGGGGATGACTGGTTGCACCCTTTGCAGTCGAATCACCCAAGCCGCCGCAGTCCAACCACATGTTGCCCATTGTCTCCCATATGTTCCAGCGTTTAGCTCTCTCTTTATCAGTAAGGCTTCTACGTTGCCCAGCTGTTGCCATGGCGACAGCACCTAAACCACGACCTGAGCCAACTCTAGCAGCACGTTCCTGATCCCTTGCAGCCGCAAGGGCAGCAGCTTTACTTGCTGCTTTATCCGCTGGAGTCTGGGGCGCTTCAACATGTTCTGGAGCTTTATTAAATGTTGGAAAGCTCAATAACCTTGGAGATCGACGATCTGACTCTGAGTCACGTTTTCTGTGGGACCCTTCACTACCACCCACCCCAGCAGCTGCCATTGCCAGCGCCATTGACGCAGGTGGAGAAGCAAATGCAGCAGCCCAAGCTGGTGAGATCATGGCCAGAGCTGCCTGAAGAGAGATATTCTTCATTAGTATAAGGTCTTGCGGTGAATCACAAAAGAGCTTGCACCACTACTGTCTTCAAATGAGACGGGTACATGATGAACAGGTGCACTCTAATTTCAGATCTCGGATTTGCAATGAAGCCCTAACTTTAGAAATAGAACCAAAACATTCAGGACATATACATATCAACTACTCTACTCCCAGCAGAGAGGTTCAGAATTGGTCTAGCGTGAAATCGTGAAACTTAATGGGTAAATTACCTCCAGTGGATGCACATCAGTGGCAAGAGGACGATCTTCCACAGCAAGTGGACTTTGACCCTGTGAATCCGTCAGTTCATGAATGCCTGATAACAAAGGTCGCCAGCGTCTCAACAAAGCAGCAAAAGGAGGTATAACAGTCTCCATGTATCGCTGGCGTAGCACATCTCTGTCCTCACTCACTGAATGCCACACCTATACAAATGAACAAATCATATGAAAGTATCCTCGCATAAACAAGACAAAGAATATACTCCGCTGTCCATGCAATTTGTAAAGATTCAGCGAGACCCCTGAAATGTAAGGATCACGGAAAAGCCAAAGCACAAATCCTCTCATATTCGCAAAAGAGCAGATACATGCAATATTGATGTCCAAAACGAGTAATGTTATTAATTTCTCTTGACTTCAGGCGAAATTAGAACATAGGTATTCAAAATATTTTTTAAGCTTGAAAATTCATCGCTCACGCTATTATTGACTGAAAGATAATATGTTGTATCTCGAGTAAAAGGGCTTACCTCAGAGTACAAGATGCAGCAAGCAACCAAAACTCGTTGCCTCCTTGACTCGGAAAGTTGCATTGTTAGTAGTGGTGCGAGCACACTGCAAAATCCAGCGATCAGATAATTTCATACAAACTTAATTCAAAGATCTAATCATTATCAGGAAAAGTCCCCCGGAGTCAAAACCCCAGTAGTTCATCCGTGCGAACGCTGTTGTGACAAACTAATTCTATTAGGCATGCGGATTCATTTCTTAACATCAAAAGCAGTGCGACAATGAAAATACTACTGCAAAAATAATTTGATGAATCATTTCAATTAAATGGTTGTACGAACAATTACCACCACAGTAGTGAACCTTTCGCCTTTGACGCGGATAACTCCTGGAAATAGTCGGATCCGAAACTCCACTGTCCACTTGAAGTTGTAGACCTCCGATGCGCACTAGGAGGCACAGTTTCAATTCTGTTATCGTTTTCCGCTGAAACACCTTCAAAGATAGGTTCCCCTAGGTCCTCCTCTCTCAATGCCAGTAGCGTGATCCGAAGCATGGCGAAAAAAGGCTGGTCGCTGTCCAATAGTTGCTGAAGCTGCAAACACCCAGAGCCAGAACCTGCAGTACCAGATATGAAAACACCTCCACCGCCAGCTCCAGGACCGTATTGATCAAGCAACAGAGCTTTCAACATAGTAACGGCTTTCTTCACCAGTGGAAGTTCAATCCATTGCCCATCGGCATCTTTATGAAATGCAGAAGACCAAGCCTTAAAGCCACCTCCACCTCCACCCAGAAGACTTTCTTTTGGAGGAAGACCAACACCGTACCACATGCGGCTTCGGCACTTCCAACTCTGGGCTAATTCAAGGCCATAACTACCATAACATGCAAATGCACACCGAACGGATTCATAGGGCTCAGCTGCTGCAGATGCAGTCAGGCGTTCCATAGCTGTGGCAGAAATCTGCCCGTTTTCATCAGCCAATGTGGCCAAAATCTGTCACAGAAATGAAACAATGTTACGGTTCTTAGTCATAACAAGAGCAATGTTTCAATGAGATGCATACTTAGTTGCAACGCTAAACCATCCATTCAAGTCTTGAAACTATTATCGGCATTGAAAGTTCAAATGCGTCCACCCAAATAAGAGCAGCTAACCCTAAACCTGCAGGTGTACATCAACATAGATACAAGGAGGGTGGAACTTGAGAATTGACTATACAATCAACAACATTCAAATGTCAAGGGAGAGCAACGGGAGTCAGAAAGATGCCTCAAGGGACAAGCTGCCTGTTTCAGAGTCGGATGGTTTTTGAGATAGAGACTTCTCTAGAGAAGGTCCAAGTGCATCAAAACCACTGAGAGCAAATCTCCGTGATCCAAGACACTCCAAACTACCATCGAGACCCTGGGAAAATGTAGAAGAAGTAGACCACCCAGGAGCTCCAGACTTGGTCAAAAGAGTCATTTGATAGGCCTGTGTTTCCAGGCGCAAGTGATCCTCGACCAACATCAAAAGGACAAGTGCATTCTCAGACAGAGACATAGATAGAGAAGCAACAGCCTCAGCTTCAGCCTTAGCTGTCCGAGGAGACAAACCTTCTGCCGCCACACCGGCAGCGGCGGCCGCCACAACTTGGGTCTGACATAAAATATAAACAGCAGTAATGTTACTCAAATATACACCACTGTAAACTTCATCTATGGTTATGCAAGTCAACTCCCATATATGCATGCAAAAATTCAATCATATGGAGCCACCAGATTCTGAATTCTCAATGCCAGAAATAAGGGAAAGTTAGGCTGGAAGAGAATCAAACGATTCAGTGACAGTTGTGAGGGCACAAAAAAAGTGCAGTAAACCAGTCCTGGTATATTCCAATAGAGGCATAAAGGCCACACTCTTACATACCTGCAGTTGTAACTCGCTAGAAGCAAAAGACAGCAAGCTGCAGAAGATTTTGCGCTTTATAACTGGAATACACACTTCCCTTCTGCATCAATACCAACACCGCATGATAAATGAATTAGAATTAGTATTGTCAATTAAAAGTTATTAGATTACCCTCAAGAAGGCTAAGTACTGCAGTAAGAAGAGTCAAAAGTGCATACTTTAGGCGCTTTTCCCCTGTACTTAATCCTCCACTCAATGCCAGCCACTCTGCACAGTGGATAGTTGCTTCCACATCCTAATGGGAAAAGTTTTTCTGGTTAGCGAAATCGACTTTTGTTATCAATATCACAGCAGCAAGAATATAATAATATCCTCGGCATCAGATCACCTAACACACTAGGAAAAAACCCAACGATTAAAAAAATATAATGGAGAAAAAAAAGGGTCGTCAAAGCGAAATTAGAAAATTTCGAAGTTAAGGCTTACCTTCCAACCATCCTTCAGACGCATGGAGTGCTCCAACATGATAGTCAAGAAACTATAAACAAGATCCTCAATCTCCTCGGATTTGTCGTTTCCTTCGCTGGAATCGTTATTTCTCGCCTGAGGATACACATGGCCGCATTATAACTACCGAATGGGATAATCCAATAGTTACATCCCCGTAGCACATGTACCACACTAGTGCTTCATCACACCCTTCTTCTAATCAACATAAAACATAATATCTTCGGCCAAGTTGCAAATCAAACCTAAGATCCCAAATAGCTCACCTCATAATTTGATATCAGAATCTCAAGAAGCCACTCTGGCCATTCAGGCATTGCTGTCAGCAATGTTCTGTTTTCAGGATGAGTACATGCTAACAACAGCACGTCCTGCAATAAGGATCCTCGAAATTTTAGTGATGACAAAGAGTATGTCAGTACCGACGAAACATACATCAGATGATTGAACTAACAGTGGAAATCTGCACGTGGCTTCATCAATGCGGATTCACTTCAAATTGCCACGGAAGATTTTGTAGGTCACAAAGCTATTTGTACTGAAGAGTATATTCTCTCACCTGAAGAACTCGAAGCTGCAGTTGAATAGGAGCATAAGGAAGTGTACGCAAAAGTACAACAAGTAAGGGGATATTCTCAAATCGATGTCCAACGTCATAAAGGGCAAGTCGGTCGTCTGCTAGCAATGGTCCATTCTGCAAATTCGAAGACAGCACGTGCATTAGCAGCCTCGCACCATCATCTGAAGATCCTTTACTGAACAGGATGAAGTGCAGTTCCTGTAACCTAACTTAAAGATAAGACTACGTCTTATGTGAATAAAAAACTAATGTAGAAACTAGTGCCCAGCAATCGCTGAGAGACACTTTTAAAATTGGTCTTAAAATTCAATTCAAGTTGGACAAAACCTCACCTCAGACCTCACAAAGGCAGGCAATAGTGCAGTATAAACATTGACAGTCATAAGCTTTCTTGGAGCAGATTGAAAAGCCTTTTCCAAGGCAAACAGAAGCCATACGACAGCAGTTGCTGCTACTCCAGTTGTACTTTCTCCGGAGGAGCTTACCCCAGAACCAGCGGACGAAGTGGGTGGCTGAGAAACTGCCATTCCAAAGCTCATAACTTTTAAGTGACCTCCAGAAACCAGAGCACCAAGCAAGGTTACAATACCAACGATGATTCCATCAGAGTGATCTACATTTCGAAATTTATTGCGTACACTGTCAGCACTTATTGATGAGCTAATGCCACCCAATGTTCCGGCAGCGGGTGCCTTATGCGCGGCTGAGCGTGATCGTGCAACAGACACAACCGTCTTCGTCGGAAGAGGCAACTGAAGATCATCCTCGTTAACACCCCTGGATCCGTCGGAGACTCCAGAAAACCCTGAGCTAACAAGTTTCCCAGTTTCCTCTGTCTCTTCGGTCAATCTACTTCCCTCACTGTCCACCTTAACATCACTTGAAACTTCACCATCGTCCTGCTCACTTGTGATTTGATCACCGACATTATTGATGAGATCCTCTAGTCCTAGGTCCGTAGCTTTGGTGGACGTGTTACTTAGACCATCGTCCGACTCTGCTTCTCTTCGTAATAGACTAACAAGCATTTCAACACCCCCATTCGCAAGGAAACTCTCAGCAAAAGTAGCTGCTTTCGTGGTGTTGGGTTGAACCACCAGTCTATAAATAAGATGCAAAACTCGCGAAACCTGCCATAAATAAATTACTAGTTAGCAACCACCACCAAAAATGGAGGTTGAACCCCATCAATTCATGATAAGAAAATTACTTGGGCCACATCTAAAAGCTTCAGACCAAAAAAATGAAAAGGCTATTCTGGAATTTCTGCAGCGCGCACACAGTGCAAAACCAAGCACAGTATTCCAACAACCAATGTCATCGCATCAGGTGGGACGCAAATAAGGATAAACCAACCTGATTAGGTTGAGGGCAGTCAAGTACAAACTGAACCAGGGAGCACACATCACCACTTAATGCCGGGCCGTGGGTGGATCCAACTAACAGCTCCACTACCACCAGCAGCTCATCCACCAAGGCATTCAGCTCTCCGCCGTGCCGAGATGATTTATCATCAGCAAATGTAAATATAGAGTTAGGTTCTGGATTCAACCAGTAGCAACGGCGGCAACAGTCCAATAGCACCTGAACAGCATTTGCACCCCTCATCGTGGCGGCTTCGGTGTAGACCATGTCAGCAAGTGTAGATAGAAGTTTCTTCTGTAATCCATAAGAACATGAACTCCATAATTTGAGGTCAAGTAGCAGACTACTGAACAACTGGACCTTGAGAGTGACGTGACTTTGAGGCGCTTGGGCAAGAGAAACAACAGCTGCCACGAGTTCTTCATCTCTTTCCTCTGTCTTTGCTTGCTCATTAATTTTCTTCTCCAGGCCTACAACAACAGGTACACGGACAAGGTAACCCAATAGGTTCGCCAACAACCGAGGTGCATGGTTCCTTACAAATTCTTCTGCATTTCCAGGGTGCTTAAGTGCCAAAGATAACATCCTGAAAATTGGGGCTGCCAGCAATGCAGTTGAAGATGACACTTCTCCCTTAATAACAGGTTGAATAGAATCCTTGTCGACTGCTCCTACAGCCAACGGTAGTAAGGCCAATGGCCCTCCCTCTCCCACAGCCCAGATAGCCTCTGAGGGCCTAATCCTTGCAGCAACATGGACATGTCCCAAGACTTCTGCAGGTTTCCTATGGGCACCTGAAAAACAATCAAACATATCATAATTGGAACGATCTGTAAAAACTGCCTACAATACAGTGACTTGTATGTGACACAAATTACGCATTTCAACAGAATGATATGCTTTGGTACTGGTACGTGTAGAAGACAACACTACGAGTCTCCATTAGGAAAAGCAAACCTGATGCTCCCGTGGGAGATGCATCCGGGCAAGATCGGCCGTTCAATAACTTTGGATGATAAAGAAGGTGAAGCCTTGGACCCAGCTCCAAATCTAGAGCTGCACTCTCCTCAGCAGCGGTAGCTGCTTGTTCGTTGTTTGCAAGCCAAGGAGATCCAGACCCTGCTCCGAATGAAGACAGGGCGTCACCTCCTCTTGAAGCCAACTGTAACATCCTCTCCTGCCCAAGTGGCTCTTTAAAGATATAGATTGGTCCCATCTCTGCAAACAATGGACACTGTCGACGACGTCTCTGCAATCCAGCCATGACAGGGGGTGGATTGGTGCCAATGCAGCAGAAACTAAGACCCCTAGAGAGGCGCGGGAACACCAGAGGGCGAGATTCATACAGACGCCCATCAATATATAATCTCATCTCATCCTCTGCTTTACCAAGTAGACTATGCTTGTGTGTATGCTCTAAACCCACAAAATACCAACGTTTACGCTTGAAGGCATGTGTAAAATGTAGCGAAGCTTTCCTACCTTTTCCATTGACACTCTCTACTACTAAAAACTGACCATGAAAATATGCTTCAACTCCCAGATTGTCTACAGAAAGGAAACTGAAGAGCCTGGGCATGTGAGCTGTTCCTTCCCCAGCAAGAGCGCTGGCCGCGGCAGCAGCTGACATAGCAGAAGATTTACCAGTCTTCGCAGCTGCGGCTGATGCAATAGCAGCGGCGGCGGCGGCTGTATTCACTGTATCCGCGAAAGACTCAATGTACAGCCATGTTGCAAATGCATAACCATTCAAAAATGGCCATTTACTCTCCCCAGGACCAAGTAATCCAGAGCTTTCACCATCAAACTCAAAGCTATGAGTAGGTCCACGGGTTTCTTCTGCAGACATTGCTCTCTCAAGAGTGTGCAAGAGATCCAAAGACTTTCCAGTTACAGATATTTTAGCAACAGCATTGAGCCATTCTCGAAGATGTTTCACAGAGAGGCAGTGGGACCCAAGAGCTTCAATCGCATCTAAAAGGAACCCTGTGTCCCAGCTATCTGCACCTTTCTGTCGTCCGACTGTTCCCAGAACAATTCGCTGGTATGCCACAAGGAGAATTCGCAAAAGTCCAGCTGCGGAACACATAGCTCGGTTTCTGGTGCAGGCTTGTAAAACCAATGCCAACGCTTTAGCCATCATTGTTCTAGGCGGCATGCTAGTCCCACTGTCGCCCTCACATGGAAGCCACGGAAGAATTTCCCCAGCCACTATTGCTGCCCCCGTACTGAGCATCATCCCAGGTGCAGATTCGTCATCCACATTATCCAAGTCATCCATACCCCCCATCTTTGCGATTAATGCTTCCACTACATACTTTGCCGGGTTTTCACCATCACCAGCATCTCTTGTACCGAAAACCTCCTCTCCTCCAACCACCCTTTTCAGTTTGGCTAAAGTGGTTCTATCAGTACCCTGGATCACAGAATCGATGAGATTCAAAAGCTCGGGAGAGAGCTTGGGCATAGTTTTTATTTCCTTCTGCAAATGTAAAGCGCGTTCCGATGCTAAGGAAAACTGTGAGCTGTCAACAGAGTGCGCCGGCCTGATGGCAACTGCCACTTCTGGCTCAGTCGGACCCAAATCTAGTGACCTGAAAGATACTAAGCCTCCACTAAGCTCATCGGACTGATTAAATGCCATCTCCGCCATGGTAGGCCCATCTGAAACCGCAGTCTGCTTTACTGAACTCATAGGTGGTTTCTCTGGAGTCGTAGTCGGCACCTCTGATATCGCAGGAGGTTCTTCTGGAATCGATTCTTTAGGAAATGAGGGCGGCTTTTTTGAGGTCAAAAGTGGCTCTTCTAAAACCGGCTTTCCTAGAACTATAGTCGGCACCTCTGACATCGCAGGTGGCTCTTCTAGAATCGAATCTTCAGAAAACGAAGGTTGCTTTTCTGAGGTAAAAGATGACTCTTCTGACACCGGCTCGTCTGGAATCGATTCTTCAGAAAAAGGAGGAGGCTTCTCTGTGATCAAAGATGATTCTTCTAAAACCGACTTTTCTGGAATCGATTCTTCAGAAAACGGAGGAGGCTTTTCTGAGATCAAAGATGATTCTTCTAAAACCGGATCTTGTGGTATTGAAGACGGCTTTTCACTTATCCCAAAACCATTGACCGGGGTCACTTCAGAATCATGGTGATCCGGACCCGATTCCATTTCAGGATTCTGAACGTTGTTCTCCATAATCACATTGGCATGAACGTCAAATGTCTATTGCCTGCACAATTACATCGTAGCGCAGAATATCAGTACTATGATTGTATACGAACATGAGATCGTCCAAGTGATCCTTGTTACTAAGCAATTGCTGCCTTACTGAGTGGCTGGTACATCCTCTGGTTACATCATTACACTGGTTTATCAAAGAGTGCTAGCTTCTCGACGAATAGTCTCTAATCAACACGGTATTACTTCGAGCTGCACGGAAAACTGTTTGCTTGGTCCGAAACTTACTGGACCGTGATTGACAGAACGACCACCATTACATAACCCTGTTCGTACAAACTGCACCCAGAGGGCTAGAGACGAAGGATGCAGGATAAACCCTACTGTCAGAGCGCAAATAGAATCACTTCTTCGGTCATCTAACTTACGACGTGAATTTTTTTAGAGAGAATCGAAGGGGGAAAAAAAAAAACTCACGGACTCCTGCGAGCGCGTATTGAGAAAACGGATGTGATTGGATGTTTAAACCCTTTACGAAAATCAGGTAAAAACCCATATATAATCCTTTCAGCTTTCTGTGTTGGTTGTCACTCGAGTAATCCTCAAATACATGAATGCACCGTATTCGTTCAGTACTTGCTAGTCCAGAATACTACAGTTCCATGCTTAGGCAACGCTGAGTCACGTACTAAATATTTATTTCCACATTCTACTCCGCCTGGATTGAGTAGCAGTAAGAAAAAGAGCACACCCAAGAAGATATTGGCGATTAAAATTGGACCCGTCGATAGTTTCCGCATAAATGACATTGAGGTGACGAAAAATCCAGATCCTTCAGGAGCTCAAATCCAACACCAGCAAACTCCAATCCCCAGCACTAGTAAACCATTCTGCAACGACCAAAGCAGATACAAGTTTCCCAAACTAATTAGATCCAGCTAATAAGAAATCTGAAAATAAACAAATACGTCAATGAACACGTAAGAGGGTCTGAGTAGAATAATCTCTAACCTAGTGATAAGCTAGAATCTTCCTAGTTCTCGACAGACAGTATAATGTGCGCACTGTCACCCACTACTTCTAGCACGGAGAACATGAAAAAATTCTACCCAATATGTGTCTTGAAATTGGGAAACCTAAAAGTCCTATGCCTGATTCTAAATCATGGATGCACGATGACTAGTGATCAAACCACTAGTACATTAGTTACGCAATCACTGAAATTGCTAGAATTGTACCCCAAAAAAATATTCTCAAGCTCCAAATGAGAGACAAAAATCGCAGGCAGGAGGGAAAAGAATGACCAAAAATTCTCACCTATCCTCAGCTCACTCAACCCTGTTAATGCTAGCTCATGGGTAGGTCAGAAACCATAACCCGGCTACGTCTCCACCCCATTACACTAGCTCATGAACTACAAGTGTCGGTACAATCTCATAACCCTAAATGCGACTTCGATCTGTAGAAACAGAACGTCACATTCCCAGTCCGCTTTCAACCCCACCTCCCCCCACTCAAAAATGCGAACCGATCGAACAAACCCGAAACTGATCCATCATCGCGCTCGATCATTACTGACATGCAATATCAGGATGGAGCACGAATGAACTCTATCCTCACACTCTCCACACGCCCAACATAGCGACATTCACCTGAAAGAAAGAAAGGAAAAAAAAAAAAAAAAAAAAAAAAAAATCCTTGGAGGTGGAGTAACGACCTGAAATAAAAAAAACAAATCCAAGGAGCGCGAGATCCTCCGTGGGCAGACAAACGCGCACCACAATCAGGCTCTAGTTCCTCCTCACTCACTCCCCCGTGTAGGGTGTGCAAGGCGGTAGCAAAACGGCAGATAGTCGGCGACGATGTCCGACACCAAGCACGCACCCACACAAACGCACGATCACTAGCCTCTCCCTCCCTCGTCCTGGTCCTGGTCCCACGTTGCAGACTGGGCAAGCCACGAAACTCGACGTGAGTCCCCAGAGGAGTGTCCCGCAGTGGACAGAAATCATAGCTCCAAACCCTCACAGAAGTAGAAGAAGGAGAAGAAGAAACGGTACTTCTTCCTCCTCCTCGTGCTGCTGCTGCTACTTCTTCTCCATCCCGCCATCGCCACCATCATTGTCGTCGTCATCCTCATTCCTCGTTCGTGGCCTCCTCGTTCGTTCGTTCGTCGAGTTCCACTTCTTCGTCGCACTTCTTCTTTCATGGTGCCCGCTCTTTCCCTTCTTCCTCCCCCGCCCTTCTTCCTCGTCTTCTTCGTTCAAACTTCGCCTCCTCCCCCTCCTCCTTTTCGTGACTGCACCCAACTTTAGACACACAATTACTTGATTTTACTATTCTATGTAGTGACCTTGGTTGATGACACAATTACTTGATTTTACTATTCTATGTGGTGACCTTGGTTGATGTGTTGCGGTTCTATCATGTTGAGAGTGAGTTGTTGAGCATGTCTGTTTTATTTTTGTGGAAGTTTGTGTCGTGATTTCATGTGTCTTTGTAAGTCTTGTTTTCGTTTTTGAGGTGTTTTGTTTCAGTTACAACATGGTTTCATGTAGCTTTTGGAAAAGATGGAGTTGCTTGTGACATTAAGGACTCAATTTTTTTTATTGTTAGAATTTTTTATTCTGAAATTTATAATGTTTTTTTAAAAAATATATATATATTTAAATTTAAAAAAAAAAAAAAAAAAAAAAAAAAAAAAAAACTTGTATTGTTGTATTATGAATCATGTATATAAAATAAAATTGTCGATGTCTCACATCCAAGGCCTTTGATTGGTTGCTTTTTTTTTGTCTTAGTGTTGATCTTGGACCTCTTCCCTCTCTTCATTGTCCCAATGCAAGTCTAGTTTCTTCATCCCCTTCTTCCTTGTCCTAGCACATAGGTCTCAATTCCCTCTTCCTTGTCCTAGCATAGATTCCAATCATCTCTTCCTTGTCTTGATGCTGATTTGAATCTCCCTTTCATCTCTTTCTTGTCTACTCACACTTGTACCAAGATAAAAAAGAGATAAAAGAGAAAATTGGAACTTGTGCCAAGACAAGGAAGAAAGAGATGAAGGAACTAGGACTTACACCAAGTCAAAAAAGAAAGGGACAAAATTTGAGATCCATACCAAGAAAAAGAAAGGCAATCAATTTGTGAGGAAAAATTTCCCCCTCACCCCAAATTACAAGATGGCCTCAATTGAAAGTTGCTTGTAATTGGTGGTGAGAACTAGAAGTAGCAATAAACAAGAACAAAAGAAGGACAACATCAAACAAGTGAAACATGTGCAATCAAGCAATTGTACACTATAAAACTAGTCACAGTTTGTTCACTAGATTTTTACCTAGTAAAAGATAAAAGTAAAAAATAAAAAATATATTTTAGATAGATAACTTTTTTATCTTTCCAATGACATAAAAATCATGTAATTCCAAATTACTATGAGTAAGTTATGATAGATTAAAGATAGAATGTAAATAATAGAAAAGTTAAGTGAATAATTTTTTACCTCAAGGATAACTTACTTAAGGAATCAAGTGTTCGAACCTCACCAAGGCTCACAAGTAGTATATATTGGTTTTCTAAAGAGACCTTGAGGCCTTATTCTTATCGTCCTACCTATACCCAAGGTGCTACAACCCATATGGGAATTATGCACCTTTATTCCTACAAGGACTATACTATCTACTGGTCCTCCTATTTCTACTAGTAAAACTACTTTTTTGAATTTTTGACTTCAGTACGGTGTTCAAAAACACTCAATTAGCCTAGAAACCTTGTGTAGTCTTCAAATCTAGTTTCATTTCTTCATAGTGGCTCTCAAGGTGGTAAAACTTAATTTTACCAAAGTCTTGAAATTTTCTCTAAAATTCATAAAAAATCCTAAATAAATTCTAAAATATCCTATAATCTTTATATAATACTAAAATCTACAAAAGACTTTATTTTTTTATTTTGGTGATTTTTTAAAGTAATAAAATCAATTTAAATCCACTAAAAATCCTATTTTCTACATACATAACTTAAAAGACATGAAGTTCTTTTTCGTGCTTCTTTTAACTATTAACTAATCATTGATAGGATTTTTGTAAGTAATACATGTAGATATGAGGCCAATGTAGAAATTGGTCTCAATTACTAATCATTAATACTCAATGGTGAGTGAAAATACTAAATCAACTAAGATAATTGCCTCTAAGTCTTATTAAGACTCCATTTTTGTAACTTTTCTTCTAATAAGACTTTTATACTTATAAATACTTCTAAATTCTAATAACTATGTAAATAGTCAAAAAGACTCTTTAACCTTAGTATTTATTTCATTAAATGACTCAATACTATATTTTAAACTAATCCACCAATTAAGATCCATTGGTGGAACTCATACAATCAAATGTCTTAGATCTATGTATAGTCATAATGGGTGTGTGTATAACAATGTAGGTTGTGCTTGTAGACTAAGCTTATTCCTAATATATTTAATCTGCTACTTTTGATTATACATGAAATACAACAAATAATTTCATAACTATAGTTAATAATTGGATTATGAATTTAAGTCATTAATGATGTTTTTGATATATTAAATGCTTTAATTATAGTGGCATAAAATAAAATAAAATAAGTATCATATAATATTTATTTGATAATTAGGTTCTAATAAAATAACTTATTAATAAAAAAAATATGTATTAAAATATTTTTTTAATAAGAATCAGTCCAAAATTATTCAATTTTAAAATTTTTGATATTTTAAAAAAATTATTAATTTTTTAATAAAAAATAAAAAATATTTTAATATATAGTCAAGAATACTTAAAGAATTTAGTGGATGTAGGACATTAGCTACGAATTATGTCAAAATAATGACTAGAATTTTATTTAATTTTTTTAAATATAGGTCTCAATTCCCTCTTCCTTACCCTAGCATGGATTCTAATGATAGAATTTTATTTTAAAAAGATAAATAAATAAATATTTTAAAATAAAACATTTCAAATATATATATATATATATATATATATATATATATAATTCTTCTCACATATATTATATAAGTGCATTATGCAACTTTGTAGATAGTTTATACTTATTATTTATTGATATTAATTTTCATTCAACTATTAGAGATTGTTTTAAATTTTAGTGATTATTAGAAAAGATTTATTTCAAATTTTAAATTTTTTATTCTAAGAAAAATTTACTAATTAAAATTTATTTTATAATATTTATAAATTTTTTTAATCTTTGATGTCTTCTTTCTTTCATATAATAATTTTTAAATTTACTATAATTTTTATTTATTAATTCTTTGAATAAAAATTATCATGATAAATAAATTTATAAATAAATGAATACCAATTTTTATCTTATAAATATATCAAATAATGTTTATATATTTCAAATTAATGTGATTATGTATCAAATCTTTAGTTAAAATCTTGTTCATATAAATAATTTAATGCAATAAAAAATAAAAAGGCTATATTCTAAATAAATTTTATATATAAAATTAGAATTGTGTAATTTATTTAATGTCTAAAATTTTTATTTTTAAAATTTTGATACGTATTCTAATTTATTATTATTTTTTAAAAAACTTATCTAATTTGATAAAGTTGGTTTACAAAATTTATTTATTTTTTAATAGAATTTTATATTAATTTCTCATAGCAATATTTTAATAAAGATTTTTTTTCTATTCTAAATAGAAGTTATCGTCAAGTATATTCATAATTTCTTGAGAAAATAAATAATTTAAGTTATAATAAGTAAATGATGGTTAGTTAATGCATTTATTTTTATTTTTTTTGTTTCTTCTTTTTGTTTTTTGTTCAGCTTTGCTTTAAAGCAGAAATCTTCATTTTATAGAATCAAACTAAGGAGTTATAATCATTTAATTATTTTATTTTATGATAATGTAAGATATATATTTTTTATTTATTAATATATGTTAATTTAATTTTTTTTATTTCAATCATCAAAAAAAAAATTCACTCTTCTTCTTTGATATATAGGTTGAGAATAATCTAGTGTTAATATAAAGTTGGATCATATATAAAAATATATTTATATGATTAATATAATAATAATAATAAAATGTCAAAATGTTACAAATGTTTTAAACATCTAAATCTTATAAACGTTGTATTCTTATAAAGGTCTTAAATTCTTATTTCTAATCTCTCATTCCAATCTCCATAAAAATAAAAATGAACACCTATTTTTATTTTCCAGTTGCCTTTCTTTTGCACCTAGAAATCTTATTTCAATCATGTCTTATAAATGATCCTCTTCAAGTATCAATCTAATACTTTTCATTCTAATTTTACTAAAAACCTAATATTTATTTTAATTTGAAGATAATTGCATTAATGTTTTTATATATATCATCTGATTTTGCCCTAGTTATGACCCTAAAAAGTAGATAGAAGCTCTTGTTATAAAAAGGTTAATTTAAAATTTTACGATGCATAATCTATTAGCTAGTAATTTCAAAAAATTCTTCATTAATCTTCAAATGAGTCATTTGTACTTATTACCATCTTTATCCATCTTTAAACTTTATTCTTGTATTACAAAATTGACTTTATGGCCATAGTCATTACCAAAATTTAATAAAAATTTAAAAATCCTTTTGAAAGAATATAATTTCAAAAACGAAATACCAAATAAGTAAAATATATATATATATATATATATATATATATATATATAATAAATATCTTATTGATCTATAAATTATAAATTAAAAATATATCATAAATAATATATAAAATATGAAATTATTTTTAATGACTAAAATTTTAATTAGAAAGTTTTACTTGATTCAAAATAGTCAGAGATTCATTAGTTTTTTTTAACAATAGTATTAACTACTACATTCTTGACAACAACAAAACAACCTTTGACTAAAGTTGCAATTATATTGACAAATAGTATTATTGAAGAAATAAAACTAATGATTAAATTTAATTATTTATTTTACCAGTAATTTTTTTTATAAATATATTACAAAAAAATAAAAAATTTGTAATCATCCATATCATTTGATTAATTATTAAAACTTTATTCATAAAATTT